AGGTCCAGCCATTCACCATTTGGAGCTAATCAAGCTAATAATGATGTAATCCTGAGTAACATTATTCTTTTTTTAAACATAAACACAGTTTGCAGTCAAGCATAGTTGACATCTTGGAACATCTGTGAATCCGCCTCATGGGGCCTGTGATCCAAAGCGGGATTAGTGGCTTAGCAAGCTAATGTCAGCATTAATGAATGCGTTTCTCTTTTATTGGGCAGAGGTTGTCATGGCAACCAGTGCTAGAAGCTCAGCCTTCTGTAGTTAGAGGTTTGTTAAGAGATGAGAGGTCATGATTGGAAAAAAATAAAATAAATAAAAAGCAGTCTGGGAAAATAGCCCTTCAAACAGCAGACGTCATTCAGACGTTGGTTTTTAGGCTAAATCTAGTTAGTCTGTCTTAATTAATCCAGAAGTATTTGTTGAAAATTGGGCTGGATTTGGTTTAGAGATTTTTACCTTTTATTTTTTCAACCAAATGTGGACGCCGTTTAGATGTAAATCATGTCGTCTTTTCAAACAGTTGCCATTCGGTGGGAAACCTCCAGCAAGCAGCAATTTGGCCCCATATTAAACCTAAAGCTAAAACTGGCAGATGATCTAGATCCCTACAACATTTTGATGAATTGTTCCTGCAAACGAGGAACATCTCTGATAAAAATTCCCTTAATATCAGTTACCCTGTGCACCAGGGATGGGCAATTCCAATTCCAGGGTTAGCATCCTGCAACTTTTAGATCCATCCTTGCTTCTACACACATGATGGCTGAGTTACCTCCTCAGCATACAGTTAGTTCTTCCAGAGTCCTCTTAGTCATCTGATTACTTGATTCAGGTGTGTTGAACCAAAGGCACATCTTAAAGTTGCAGGATGCTGGCCATCAGGAACTGGAATTGCTGACCCCTGCTGTACACAGACAGACCCACGGACAGACTTTCCTCGGTGGAGATATCCAGATGTGAAATCCATCCTTATTTTGGGGGAAAAAAAGCTCTTCTCCAAAGCAACTCAGTGTCTCTTCTTCAAACTGACCTAAATCTAAATATTAATAGACCTATATGGTAAGATCTGGTAAGTGGTTTAAATTGCAAACATGCAGAGGATCCAGGTCTGAATTCTGGATGCAGCAGGAAGAGCATCTGGGATCTTTGAGTACACAGAAACATAAAACAGTGCAGAGCATTGAAAGTTGCAGGAATTGCACTGTCCACTGCAGCGCCTGAATGGATCTTCTTCCTCTGATGTGCAGAAAGTTTCATTGCTGTCTGCTGATGTCAGACATGTCCAGCAGCACCACGCACTTCTATAGGAGGCATCAGTTTCTGTTCTGTCAGAGACAATGGCGTAATGACACAACAGTAGGTCTGTAAGCAACATTATCTGGGTGACCCCATCCCCAACCCCCCCGCCGCCGAAAAAAACCAACATGCCCCATTCATACACACTTCAATATACTTTAATATATTCTGCTGTAAAATCAGTCTTATCAGGCTACCTTGAGTTTCACAGCCTCCCCCCCCCCCCCCCCCCCTCCCCTCACCCGCGCTCTCACCATTCACCTCCTGGTCGCCATCTTTACTCACTGTAGCAGCAGCGTCCTCCTCTCCCTCTTCGGTTCTTTGAAAGAACGTTTTTATTTTGGGAAGTTTTTTCCGTTCTTCCAGCAGCTCTTCTTTCCTTTTTCTTTTCTGGAATCCGCTTAAGTACTAGGGTGTAAATCACATCCATCATGGCGATTCGATTCAGCATCGATTTCCTGACCCAACGATTCGAGTATTTTCGATACTCAAAAATACACCACGATACGATTCGATTCGATTCGATTAATTGGTTTGTGTTTTTTTTTTGTTTTTTTTTACTCCTTACAGGCTAGAAAATGTTTCAAATTTGAAATAAATCAGTGAAAGCTGTGATATTGTTATGCATTTTTTTTTTAGAAACAACAGCAAATAACAGAGGTAGAAAAGTTTTATTCCATCTATTCCTATTAAATCCTCATTCACTGAAAAATAATAATACCCCTGCGTTATAGATTCTGAAAGGCTTTGCATAAAAAAATACTGCAGAAAATCAGTGCAATGAGTGCAATGCAATACCTCGGCTCCAGACTCCGCCCCCTCCACAGACGCTCCGCTGCTCCTCTCCCAAATTGTAGCTGACCGCAGACAGGAGGCCGGCTTGTTTTGTTTTTATGACCGAAATTGCGGAAAAGAACTCGTGAAGTTTGACCAGCTAGAAGAGCGAGCTGCACGAGAACACTGGGACCCTTTTTCCACCTGGATCTCTGCTCTTTTTGGCCCTCATGTCCCTCCGTCGTCGGACTAAACTCGCCCCCACTTCCTCGCCGCCTCGGCCGTATCTAGACCCACAGCGTGTAGCACAGACCACGCTTCAATATTGAGCATAAATCAAAAATGTCTGCGTCAAGCTCACTGCAACACACTGCTGCAGGAGTATAACCAGGAAGCGAGGTAGGAGGGCAGAATAGGTTTAGCGCCACCGCAGCACGGGAGGGAGAATTACGCCCAGGAGCAAATGGATAAAAATAGACCGAAGGAAAAAAAAACATGAATCGATTCTCTTGCAGACGTGTCGATGCATCGGATCGTCGGCTGTTGGATCGATGCATTGATACAAAACGATTATTATTTACACCCCTATTAAGTACCTCTTTTTGGTATCCATCATCTCTAACACATTGTACGTAACGCTTATGGTTTAATCTACCCTCTGGATTACCCATAACTGCAGGCCGTTCTATCTGCCCAGAGAGTTCAGTGTGGTTAGCATCACTGCTGTTTATGTGCCCCCCAGCGCTAACACTAAAGAGGCCATGAAGACTCTATACCAGGCTATCTCTGAGCTCCAATCTGCACACAGAGGCTGTTTCCATCATTGCTGGGGATTTTAACCAGGCTAACTTGAAGACTGTTCTCCCTCATTTCTACCAACATGTGGACTTTGCAACTCAGGGCTTAAACACTTTAGACCTGGTTTACTCTAACATCAAAGATGCATTCAGAGCAGCCCCCCCACCCCCACCTTGGGTCATCAGATCATCTCTCAGTCATGCTTATCCCTGCATATAAGCCCCAGCTGATCAGGGCTAAACCGACAGTTAACGAGGTCAGAGTGTGGTCTGAGGGTGCCATGGAGACACTCCAAGACTGTGAATGCTCTGACTGGAACATCTTCAAGGCTGCAGCAACATATTACAACTTATCAAATATAGATAAGCATGCCATGACTGTGTCAGCCTACATTAACAAATGCATTGAGGACGTCAGCATCAAAAAGAACATCACCACCCGGGCCAACCAACCACCCTGGATAAATGGAGAGGTTCAGAAATCGCTAAAAGCACCGAAATCAAGTCTAGTGATAAAGAGGCTATAAGAGATATGAGGAGATCCAGGATCTTTCCCAAGCAACACCAGGAGGATGTGGCATTCGGATGATCACAGACTACAACACCCCCCCCCCCCCCCACCCCGGTAGATGCAGCAAACACTGACTTCCTAAATAAACTGAACAACTTCTTTGAAAGGTTTGAGGCACTAAACAGCCTCCAGCAGTGAAAGCTGTTCCACACCAGGGAGAGGAGCCACTAAACCTGGACGTAGCTGAAGGGAGGAAAACTCTGAGGAGAGTCAACCCAAGGAAGGCCCCAGGGCCTGATAACATACCTGGGCAGGTGTATAAGGAGTGGTCAGATCAGCTGGCTGGTGTCCTCACAGACATCTTTAACACCTTGCTGGACCAATCCATAGTGCCAGCATGCTTCCAGTCTGCCTCCATAATTCCAGTCCCAAAGAAGCCTCAGGTCGCCTCCCTCAATGATTAGCGGCCTGTCGCTCTGACTCCCATCATGATGAAGTGCTTCCAAAGGCTGGTTAAAGAACACATCGTCTCCAGTCTGCCGCCAACATTCCACCCGTTCCAGTTCGCCTACCGACGGAACCGCTCCACTGAGGATGCCATCTTTGCTGCTCTCCACCTGAGCCTGGCACACCTGGAGGAGAAGAACACCCACGTGCGGATGCTGTTCCTGGACTTCAGTTCAGCTTTCAGCACCATCATCCCACAGCATCTGATGAGCAAACTGGAACAACTGGGCTTCAATACACCCCTCTGCTATTGGCTGCTAGACTTCCTCACCAACAGACCTCAGTCAGTCCGGGTCGGACAGAACACCTCTGATATCATCAGTCTAAGCCCCTCCCCTCAGGGCTGCGTCCTGAGCCCCCTGCTCAATCACATGGTGAAGTTTGCAGACGACACCACGGTGGTGGGCCTCATCAGAGACGACAACGACCTGGACTACAGAGAGGAGGTGGAGCAGCTGGTGGAGCAGAGATAACAGCCTGATCCTGAAGGTGGAGAAGACCAAGGAGATCATGGTGGACTTAGCTTAGTGCTTGGAAAAAATCTTTCATTCCTTTAGAGACAGCATGAAAAGTCAGCTGAGTACAAAACATAGAGAGGAAAACAAGAAGAAAAGGGACAAGAAGAGAGGGACACAACCTAGAACAGATCATGGATGTCTATTCTATTAACATTTCTACATCTGTAGGATGGGGCTGTTTTATGTGTTGTCTTCTCCATTCAGAGGGGCCCCTGACTGTCTTTGCCTAGGGCCCCACATTTCCTAAATCCGCCCCTGAACCTGCAGTGGACGAGGCGCCTTCAGGCATCTAGAAATGACCAAGAAAGTTTAACTGGATTTGAGGAAGTCCACCGTTCCTTTCCTGATGTCTCATTTACTCCTATTCTCCCATAAAGTAAAACAGGAATCATGCAGTTAGTTTTATGTGTTAAAGGATATCCACACACAGCATGTGGGGTTCCCAGATCTAAATGTCTCTTTAACTTAAAGTAAGAAGAACATTTGTTTTAGCTGGTATCAAGTATTTTGGTTTAACTGCATCTTAGTAATGATGTGACGCATTAGTTGGGTCTAACCTAAGCTTTCTTTGTTCCTTTGTCCTTCCCTTCACAGGTAAATGCTTTCCTGTCGTTTGTGGTCCCCATGGTTGCCATTTCCGTGCTGAATGGGGTCATAGCCAACCAGCTGCTGCGAATGTTTAGGGAGGCCGAGCAGGATAACCGCATGTCCATCAGCAGAGGAAATCCCGCCGTGCTAAACATCACGGTGGAATCCAACCGCGCTCAGTCACTGCGCCATGGAGTTCTAGTCCTCCGTAAGTACAAACTACAGAAACCTCCACAGAGGAGATCAGAGATCCATCTGATGCAGGAGGGAGATCCATCCTTTTCTTTTAACTCTGTTTCTACTACCATATTTACAATATTTATTTATTTATGCAGTCTTGTTCCTTCCTTTAGTTAGGAAAAGCAAATCAAAGCTTGAAAATGAATAAACTGCAGTTGAAAAGTTCCACACTGCAACTTTTAGCCACTAGGGGTGCTAGACCTGAAACTTCCAGGTTTTTACAAGGTGTTGCTTCAACAGCTGTGATGTGAAATTATGGCGGAATCAATCTTCAGTGTGAGCAAAGTAATGGTTTCACTTTCTATAAGGGAAGACTACTCTTAGCAGATGGAGGGTTTCAGTCCTGGGAGATTTTAGCTTTCAGAGGAACATGAATGTCATTCCAAAGAAAGAAAATCAATCTACTGGACTTTGATTCCAAGTTTGAAGACGTTTCTCTTCTCATCCAGGAAGCTTTTTCAATTCAAAACGTCAGAAATAGTGTTGAGTTTTAGGTTTTATCCAGCAGCCCAACAAAGCCTGGTTTTAGTTTAGAAAAGAGAAGAAAGGAAAAAGAAGAAAAATAAAACAAAATAAGGCTTTGTTGGGCAACTTCATGAGGACTAATTGCTTTGGTTAAACAGAAGGTGCAGAACATGTTTTACACACATTTTAAATGTTCCAAAACTGAAACAATTGTTCAGTTCGTCAGCTCTTTTAAACTGATATTTAAAGCAGTCTTTTATTAAACCAATGCATTCCTTTTGTTTCTGGGAAACTAACATGTCTAGTAGGAAATTAGCCAACCTTCCTGTTCCTTCAGTCACAGTAGAGCTACCTTCTCTTCATATAACTTTGCACATCTTGGAATGAAGACAAATAACATAATAAATTGCAAAATCACAGAGCGAAATGGAAAGGGTGTTTAATTTTCTACAGCAGGGAGAACATGAAGAAGGCCGACTAAAGCTTCCTCCTCTGGGTTTTCATTACTGAAGGAATGTGTGACATTTACAATATAAATCAGTCAGAAAACATGGAGGCGAAGGCCATGAAATACTCACATTCAGCGTTATCAGACATCTGCTGTAAAGTATGATCATATTGATAAAAAGCTGCTTTATCTCCTGCGATATTGCAGCATTAATATCCAGCTAAATGGTCACATTAAGCAGAAAGAAATGTTAAAGGATTCACATCCGATTATTTGACCTTAGTGAGCAGCTGCAGAATCACAGGATTAACGCTGACACCAAACTGAGGGGAAATAGATCGGTTTGAAATGTTTACTTTTCCTCTAATGTAATGTGATTAAATTAAAGGAAAAGTCGGTCAGCAAGTAATGATCAATGGATCATTGCTTATACCTAAAACCAATTCGTTTGCAGTGATTTAATGAATTTAGCGTTAATCAGTAAAAAAAAAAAAATCATTATATATCTGGGAGCGGCCATTTTTGCCCAAATATAGTAGCCCCTCCCTCCTGCCATCTTCCAGCAGTGACGTCACGGTGCGGTAAGCCTAGCGCCATTCTCCCCGCTTTCCAAGCTAAATCAATGGGAACTACTAGACACATCTGCAATCAACAACAATTATTGAAGATTTCCAGAGGACTTCACCATTGAAATTCACCAGAGCTATAGTGAAACTGACAATGCCCACGTGCATGGCAGCTGGATGCTGGAATACATCGGGTAAAAGTGAAAAAAAGAGTTATTCCACCTTTCTGATTCCTGATCCTCCACGGACGGGTTGGTCGTTGGATCGCCAACTTGAAGAGGGAGGATTTGCCATCGAACTTCTGGCCAGAGAAAAAACCCGTAATATGTAGCCAACATTTGGAAGAAGAATGTTTTTTAAGATGACTTGGATAATAGCGCGTTGTGACAAACACCAGATACAGCACTGGGACTTGATCAACAGCCGATACCGCACCGTGACAATGTCACTAACCAGTAGGTGGCAGTAGTGTTCTTTGACAAACATGGATGCCTCCAGTAAAGCACATTCACATGAAAATTACTCTGAATTAAAAACATTTATTGAACAGGATGGAATCATTTCAGATTTAAAGAACTTTCAGAAGTTTGAAAACTTCAGCCAACAATATTTATTCAGAAATCATTTTAATGAAACTAGAGTGAGCTACTGAGGTAGGAATGAGTAAAGTCAGGTAGGGCTGAAACAATTTATCTGATTAATCAATCAATGAAATAATTATCAACTTATTCAGTAATCGATTAATCATTAACTGGAGTCTAGAGACTTTAAAATTTGCCTTTAGCTGATAGAGCGACCCACTTAGAGCAGCAATTATATCAAAACTGTAAAATAATATCTAAACATTTTGCATTTAAGTAAAAAAAGAAAAAAAGAAAAACATCTGTCTATATGCTCTATCCAAAACTCCTCAAGTGGAAAAGCTTGAGTTGTTAACTCTGTTTGATTTCGTAAAAAGTCTTCTCTAAGAGAATAGAGAACAATCATTTACTTCCAGGTGGATCATCTAAATAACTGGTCCTCCTAACTGTTAATCATTCTGATGATATGTTTACCTAAAGCCGTCCTATGTGCTCATCCCGTTTTCTATCTTCGTGTGCATTTGCACTTTCAGGCGTATATCTGTGGTGAGCTACGGTTTCAGTCATTGAAGCTCACCTTTCTCACCGTGGAAAATGGCCGAGGGTCGGAAGAAAAAAAATTCTCTACGAAGTGTATGAGAAGAAAAGACAGGCGTCAGATAAGGCCGATATGTCCCAGAATGCTTTGCGCAGAGAGCTGTCTTTGCAAAGCAATATGGGATTTGCTGTCACAGCGGCCCGCTGTCACCATAGGCTATCGCTACCCTGCAGCAGCGACTAATAACAAAGATGGCACAGGCACCGAGCGGTGGAGGAGGAGTTACGTGACCAACGGAGTAAAAAGTAGTGATCATCTGACCAAATGGTCAGTTAACTGAGTTCACTATATAGTCTCTGATCTATATGGTGATGGAGGGATTTAGGGGTCAGGGTGGACGTTCAGTCGTTCACTGTAAGCTTGTATGAGCTATGAGAACAGAAACTTTTAAACAGAGCGTGCATGAGGAGAAATGGGATTGTGCACGCTCTCACACACACTTAATTGGCGTTCCCTCTCGGGAGCTGGTACAGGTTGTGCATTTTTGTATGCATGGGTTTTGCGATATGATACGTGTCACAATAAGATATTATCACGATTCTGCAGTATCACTCTATATATGGCGATGTTTCCCTGTTGTCAAAATTATAGTAAAAAAGCGAGTTCTGTATATGTTAATCAGAAGAGTCAACTTTTTCCACTTTGGCTGCCTCAACTACAGATATGATGCTGCTCTAGGGAGACCAGACATCCTCTTTTTCTTGGACATGTCCTACTTTTCGGTCGCTCCGTCCCTGGCTGACTCTGGACCTGGACCAGCCCCGGAGCTGATGGCTCGGTTCGAACACCCGGTCTGGTCCAGTCAGCGGCCCACTTTTTTACGTACTTCCGACTTGACTTCTTTATTTTAAAAGCAAAGACAAAGACTTGCAACTCAGTCAAAACAAAAAAATTATGTTAATTTAATCTTTGAAGGTAAAAAAGTGGTAAAAAAATAATAATTTTACAAAACCTCCCAGCCACACACATTTACTAAACAATCCCCCAGTATCCACTATGTGCTTAATTACTCAAATTAACGGGAGGGTCTGACCCCATCCTGGAGAGAATATCAGCTGTGCTGCTGCCATCAACACCTTTGTTTCTAGATGTTGGAGCTTGGCCTGTTTTCCAGTGTAGTCCTGTTTCTCTGACTGTGACTAACTGGATGTGCTCTCTTCATCCTCTGACATGGGAGCTGGCTCGGAGCTCGTCTGCCTGGCTGTGTGTTTCCTGGACGGGGCCGCCTGTGGAGCTGGTTGACAGTTGCCTTTTGTATCTATGCTTCTTTTTCTATGTCTGCTTCTGTCTCCTTGAACCCCAGTGGGCCTCAGCAGATGGCCGCTCACACTGAGCCTGGTTCTGCTGGAGGTTTCTTCCTGTTCAAAGGGAGTTTTTCCTCTCCACTGTCGCTACAAGCATGCTTAGTGTGAGGGATTGCTGAAGAGTCAATGAGTCGATGCAATCAGCTGGTTTTCCTTAGATAGAAAACTTTGAATCAATCTGACTGGATGATCTGGTTGAACTGGAAAGTGACCTGAGATGACATGATGGGAATTGGAGCTATAGAAATAAACTGAATAGAATTGAATTGATCACAGCATCCTCACAGTGAACAACACTAAAGGCCTGACCATGCTGTGGGAAACCAGGAATTTCCCCAAAACTGAGAAGATTGTCATAGAAATTATAAAGGGAGGATGGATGGAGTTAAAAATCCAGAGGAATCTGCTTCATCCTCCAAAATACTCACCACTGGGGTGGAGCTCCCAGCAGCATGGACCCGAAATATACAACCAGAGCTGCAATATGGTGGTTTGGACCAAAGCAAGAATCAATCACAGTCTGAACTAAAATCCAGCTGAGAATCTCAGAAATGAGAGTTTAAAATGATCGTCGTCCGATCCGACTGAGGTTAAATTATTTCAGCTATCAGCTCAGATTATGGCTTCTTAGCAAGATAAAAATCTAAGTACATTTTTGATTGATTTCTGCATAGAAACAGCAAAAAAGAAAATGAAATAAAACAAAATGTTCTGTAAATGTTTTGTTTTAAACTGGTTTCATCGGCTCATTATAGGTGATCTCGTTCTTTAAACTCAGTTAAATCTTTTGTTTTTTTGCAGTTCTTTTGTGGATCTAAACCAATACGCTGAATCTTTTCAAAAATGAATCAACAGCACATTTAGGCAGATTAATCCCAATTCCAAGTGATGTGATCAGTTGTTGCCAGCTCCAGTAATTATCTTCACCAGTCTCCTCTCTCTTCTACTTTGATGCGTTGCAGTAATCAGTGCTTAAATCTGCTTGGTGCGTGATTTTTAAAGTGGATTTACAAAGTCTTTGAGTGGAGCTCATAACGATCGCAGAGCGCGCTGCTCTAGATAAAGAGAACACAACAAAGGGAAGTTTAACATCTGCATGAAATGAAGCGATGCTGCACAGATATGAGCCTGTTTGCACACAGAATAATGCCTCGATGGATGTTGGAAACC